GCTCATGTTTTGTGATTGTTCTCACTTATCTGCTGCTCTCTTTCTGTCCATGAGTAATAGATAGATGGCAGACCCTGTTTTTAATATTAGCTCCCAAAATAGAAAGTCAAAGAAGACTTTTGATGGGCTCAAGAGTTGGGCTTTCCTCATGGGTCAAAAATAAAGAAAGAACCCAACAATTTGATCCTAAAATACTCCTATAAAGTTGTACCAATTTTTTTAACAAATTTTAATGATAAAATATTTGTATTTAATATTCAAATATTACCTAAAGTAGATGCCTTTTCGGAGCATATTTACCATATGCTCCATATCAGGGTTGGAGCTCTGTCCAGATAGAAAGAAATGCTTGAGCAAAAAAACTAGATCCTCATCATCTTTAAGCCTATCATACGTATCGTCTGCGTGTGGTGGAGCTATGTTCATTAACTTGACTTGGTTGTCCAAAATGACGATGTTAGTCCATTGGTCCAGGTTACCATGTCTTCCTACATGGTTCTGAACCTCCGCCACTGCTATAATTAGTTGTCTGGAAGAAACAAATGCTCAATATTAAAATATTGTATTAAAATATCCTAGAAATAAATACTCTATACTGAAATACACAACTTACCTAACCCTTTCTTTTTCAAAGGGTGCTCCAGTCCACATCGTCTCATCAAACTTTTCATAAATAGCAAAACAGTACTCGTCAGTCTTTACCATGAAAAGGGGCTTCAATACAAATCGAGAAGAGATGTATTGAGATATTATTAGCTAAATTATTAGCTCTTGTATTTTACATTGTTGAATATGTAATGTTTCATATTGATAAGACCAACCTACGTGGTTGCATGTCATACATATGGCCCATGCACCACTTCCATCCCATTTCCTATATCATTTGCTTGTACTATATATATGTGTGTAATCCGTATGTTCAATAACACAAAAACAAATACACTTTACGTGCATCTCACCTTTAGAAAAGGGTTTTCTCATTTTCAGCATTTTTATAATTTTAGAATACTTTACAATTTTATCATGGTATCAGAGCTGAAATCCTGGAAACAAAAATTTTAGGTTTTCATTTCCTTTCCTTTTGGCTATGGAGGTTGATGATGTCATCATTAAGCCCATATATGAAATTATGGGTTGTTTTTCTTCTACTGCTCAAGTAAATATGGCATGCACACCACAACATGCTTGTACTTGGATAATTGATTCCGGAGCTACTGAGCATATCACATGTAGTGATATTAATCTTTTTAATATCACTAGTCACACGACGGACTCATCAGTCAAAATTCCTAACGGCGAATCGATTCCAGTTCATGCTGTTGGAAGCTTATATTTACCCAATGGGATCCGTCTTGAACGTGTTTTATACATTCCAAAATTTCAATGCAACTTACTTTCAGTCAGTCGCTTAACAAGCGATCTAAATTGTACCTTGACATTTTTTCCAGATTTCTGTATTTTTCAGGATGTACCCTCGAGAAAGCTGATTGGCGTGGGTAAATCTCGTGATGGGCTCTATTACTTGGAGCCTTTGAGAAGTGAAAGGGTGGCAATGTCAGTCTCTATTACCTCCGATTTATGGCATCAACGTTTGGGACATGCATCTGATGGAAAATTACAACACATTAGTTCTCTGAAAGGTTTTCAACAAAGTGGTAATTTTTGTGACCCCTGTGTGCGAGCTAAGCAGACTAGACTTTCTTTTCCTACAAGCAAAATCAAGACAACTTGCAGTTTCGAGTTAATACACTGTGACATTTGGGGAGGCTACAGGTGTGACTCAATTTCCGGAGCACGGTATTTTCTATCTATTGTTGACGACTTTACTAGAGGTGTGTGGGTTTATTTAATGAAAAATAAGTCTGAAGTTGCTCAATTTTTAATTCAATTTTGCAACATGGTTGATACCCAATTTGAGAAAAAGGTCAAACGAATACGGGCTGATAATGGTGTAGAATTCCAAACCAACCATTTATTTGGTTATTATGCCCGCACTGGAATACTATTAGAAACATCTTGCACAGACACACCACAACAAAATGGAGTTGTAGAGCGTAAGCATAGACACATATTGGAAATTGCGAGGGCACTGCGTTTCCAATCTGGTTTGCCTATTGATTTTTGGGGAGAGTGCATATTGACAGCAGTTTACATTATAAATAGGTTACCTTCACCAGTTATTTTTAACAAAAGCCCTTTTGAAATGTTATTTGGAAAAACTCCTGGCTATGATCATTTGCGGGTGTTTGGATGTTTGGTATATGCCCATGATAATAAACGAAAGGATAAATTCGGTGAAAGGGGGAGTCCTTGTATATTTATTGGGTATCCATACGGTCAAAAGGCTTATCGAGTTTTTGACTTAGAAAAACACTCCGCGTACAGCTCTCGAGATGTGACATTTTTTGAAGAAGTTTTTCCGTTTAAAATGATCAAAAACCAAGAACTTGATTTTGGGAATCTTGTTGATCAAGTATATCAAGAAGTATTAAAACAGGGATCTACTGTCGTCCAGAATAAACAGCACAATGATGATTTTTTGTTACAAGAAAATAGTCATTTTTTTCATCCCAGCTCAAACGATGAAGGGCATATGTTTATTCAAAAAGAGGGAGTGACCGTGATTCCAAAAAGGTGTGTCGGTGATGGCAGCACACTACTTTTGGATGCATGTGATAATAATATACCAACACTTCCTGGAAGGGTCATTGAAAAACAAACAGGTGCAGCACCAAATGACCCCACTGGACAGCCACCCACTTGGATTGATTGCATGGATAATTCAAGCAATTACCTATCTCCTGGGTTACTGCATGCGAATGAAATAGGCACCACACAAAATTCTCTTGAACAAGGAGACCCCACTAGGCAGTTGACTAATGCAGACAGAAATGATTTGGACGGCATTCCCATTTCCCGTTCAGATCTACCTAACGTGTCTGCAGATCTAAATCCTCCAAAATTATATGACCCCATCTCAAATTCACAGCCATGCATGGACGAAAATAGGCTCCGCCAACCATCTACAGTGACCGAATACATTGGACTGCCGGACGCACGAAAACGAGGAGAAAGAACTCGGAAATATCCCAAACATCTGGAGGACTACGAGACTGACTTACCCCCTTCACTCGATCACCCACGGTCAACCACCGCTAATTCAGCCAACTCAACGGTATACCCTATTTCTCATTTCATTAATTATGATAAGTTTACACTCACTCATAAAGCATATTTAGCGGCCATCACCTCACGTGATGAGCCCAAATATTTTTCACAAGCCGTACAGGATCCTTTATGGAGGGAGGCTATGCAAAAGGAGATTAATGCCTTAGAAGAGAATAACACTTGGACTTTGGTCCATTTACCGCCCGGGAAAAGAATCGTGGATTCCAAATGGGTTTACAAAATCAAATATAAACCCAATGGCGAAGTAGAACGCTACAAGGCTAGATTGGTAGCCCGGGGTTTCACTCAAGTTGAGGGAGTTGATTTTCACGAGACTTTTGCACCAGTTGCCAAGCTTGTCACGGTGCGATGCATGCTAGCTGTTGCAGTTAAGCGTAATTGGATCGTACACCAACTGGATGTGAATAATGCTTTTCTCCACGGTGATCTCTCGGAGAACGTATATATGCGCATTCCACAGGGATTCATGAAGAAGGGTGATACTCGTGTTTGCAAATTACAAAAATCCTTATATGGATTACGTCAGGCTTCTCGCAATTGGTATCACAAATTCACTCAAGCTCTTAATGGGATAGGTTTTCGCCAATCACGAGCGGATCACTCCTTATTCATTTTTCGACAAGGACACGTCACAACATTTGCCCTCATCTACGTTGATGATGTGATCCTGGCCGGAAATGATGGTTCACACATTTCTACCATTAAGGATTATCTAAACAACAAGTTTAGCATCAAGGACTTGGGCAAATTAAAATACTTCCTTGGCATTGAAGTCGCTCGTTCTCCAGAGGGTTTTGTCTTAAGCCAGCGAAAGTATACTCTTGATATATTGGAAGAAAGCGGCCTCCTGGCGGGCCGTCCCAGTTTGTTTCCTATGGAACAAAACCTAAAACTTCGTCCGGACGATGATAGCCAACTGGTAGACGCATCTTCCTATCGCAGATTAATTGGGCGCCTATTATACCTCACCGTAACTCGTCCAGATATTGTTTATCCTGTTAGTCAGCTCAGCCAATTTCTTAGTCATCCGCGACAGAGTCACCTCGACGCCGCCATCCGTGTATTACGTTATCTGAAACAGACACCTGGTCAAGGAATATTTTTATCATCTGATAACGATTTTAACTTAAAAGGATATTGTGATGCAGACTGGGCTGGCTGCTCCTTCACTCGTCGCTCTAGTACTGGATATTTCATTTCGCTTGGAAATTCGCCTATCTCTTGGAGAACAAAGAAGCAATCAGTTGTCTCACGCTCTTCTGCTGAAGCCGAATATCGTGCCATGGCTGTAACAGTTAGTGAAATATTATGGTTACGTTGGGAACTCCAGGATCTTACAGTTGATCAAATAGGTTCCACACCTCTTTATTGTGACAATCAAGCAGCACGTCACATTGCACTAAATCCAGTTTTCCATGAACGAACAAAGCACGTAGAAATGGATTGTTATTTTGTGAGAGAGAGAGTTGCTAGTAAAGAGATTCAGCCGATTTGTATCTCTACAACCAATCAAGTGGCCGACATTTTCACCAAAGCACTTGGCACCGATCGTTTTCAGTTTCTCCGAAGCAAGTTGGGTGTTCGTAATCTTCACACTCCACCTTGAGGGGGAGTATTGAGATATTATTAGCTAAATTATTAGCTCTTGTATTTTACATTGTTGAATATGTAATGTTTCATATTGATAAGACCAACCTACGTGGTTGCATGTCATACATATGGCCCATGCACCACTTCCATCCCATTTCCTATATCATTTGCTTGTACTATATATATGTGTGTAATCCGTATGTTCAATAACACAAAAACAAATACACTTTACGTGCATCTCACCTTTAGAAAAGGGTTTTCTCATTTTCAGCATTTTTATAATTTTAGAATACTTTACAATTTTATCAAGATGGTTTGAGCTCTGTTGAAAGCTGCTCTCAATTCAAGTCTTCTGCGTGTGGCAACCGGCAGACTTGCACAGTTGCCTCCATGAATCCAAATGCTGTCTCCAACTTACATTTAAATGTTGAAACGTAGTCTCGGTTGTGAACATAGATACTTTCAAGGACTTTGAAAGACGGTTCGAAACGAAATGAACATAGGGTAGTGAGGTTTACTTGTTCATCGTACTCGAACTCCATGAAGAAAGGTAAGATTTGGAGAGCCTAGACACTGGTTAGGGTTTTCTAACAAAGGTACGGCTGCTGAGGCATTTTGGGCCCAATCTTTTGGATATCTCCTATGGGAGATTCTGAATACCATAAGTCTACGTGGCTGTCAATACGGAGGACCTAATTAATTGCTCTCTCATTAAATTCTTTCAAAACACAATTAATTTAGCAAAAAAAAAAACATACTCCTTAATAATACTCCGTATTACTTCCACCTTGGAAGCAAGTATTTTAGATGTAGGTTTAAACAATCCTCCGTAATAATAATATTACCTCCGTGTTGGCACATGAAAAAGTGACACAATTATTAAGAAAAATGAATTTGTGTGGTTGATATATTAAATTAATAAAGAAATAATGGTTAGGGGAAAATAAATAATATACCCCAAACTTTGTGTTGGTGTGAGCTCCCTACCCCGAACTTGTCCTAGTTTAAAAAATACCTTCAACTTTATTTATTTAATTTTTTTGTACCATATTTTGATAAACAAATAATATTTCTCAAACTATAATATCTTTATTAGATTTAGTTGACAAAAAAGATGTGTGATTCCCAAATTAATTTGTGCTTATGGAATTAATTAAATAACTTTAATATCTCCAATTGAAGTACAAAAAAAATGTTGATTAATCTTTTCTTACCAACTAAATCTAATTAACATATTATAATTGGAGAAATATTATTTGTTAATTAAAATATGGTATAAAAAATTTAAATAAATATAGTTGGGGTTATTTTTTAAACTAGGACAAGTTCGGGGTGGGGATCTCACACCAAGGCAAAGTTTGAGGTATATTATTTATTTTCCCCTAATGGTTAATAGCCACACAAACTTTACCAAATAAGATATGAGACAATTTTAGTGGGGCGTACCAAACTGGTAAAATGGGACAATCATAGCAAGAGGGAGGGAGTAATAAATACAAATAATAATAATAGTTTTAATAATAATATTTACTATTATAAGGAGGTTTTTACTTGATTTGTTTTTAGTCCCAGACCATACCATATCAGACCAGATCGAACTTAAATAAATCAATCTAGCCCAGCTTTTCATAATTATAAAAACACATAGACCATATATCTGTCTAGATCAAATAAATATACACCAGATCGACTTAAACAGATCAGAACAGATGAGAAAATATCAATCCAATTTAAATGATGGACGAGCTGGATTGATAGAGACTAAAAACCCGTTTGGTGATCCTTATTTTGGACTTACCAACCTCAACAATCAATTTTAAATTTCGCGTGCTGAATTGATTGAAAATTTAGAGTTACTATAGAGGACGATTTTAGTTATTTTAGTTATACATCTACCTTCTTACTAATAAAGTTGAACCTTGAAATTGAAATTTCAAGTATTTGCTAATAAGTAAAATTATGAATTTACATATTACTATTAAGTCCAATTAATTCAGGTCATATTTGCAAATTGTGTTATTCTATATGCATTCCAAAATTAATGAGATATTAAAGTGTTAAAATAGAAAAATAGGGAATAAGTTAAATATATTAGGATGTTTTCTTTTGGACTGTTTTCAGTCCCAGACCAGATCAGATCAAATCAGACCAGACTTCCATAGTTATAAAATACATAGAGACCAAACGTCTACCAGACCAGACCAGATCAGACCAGACCAGACCAGACCAGACCAGCAAATTTCAGTCCAAAAGAAAACATCCTTATAATGATACCGTCTCATATTTATTATCTATTCTACAATTCCTTATATACAAGATGTGCCCATAGGACAATAACAATTGTAAAAAGGAAAACTAATTACACAAGATATTTTCCTAGAATCAAGCTATTACCAAAGATGTGCATAGCCGCCGAAAATCTAAGGAAATAATATAATTATGAAATAATTATATTACATCTGTATGCTCCCGAAACAAAAACCTTTCATATTTGAGAATACATGAATATCAATTTAGAGGTACAGATGATACATGGCTAGGAATAATACTTCATCCGTCCCAAATTGTTTTGTAAAGTCAATATTTTTTTGTCAACCAAAAATAAAAGTCAATACTCTCAATCGATAATTAACTCAATTTATAATAATTAAAATTTACATATTAGAAACTACATTAAAATCATTTTAAAGTTGCAAAATTCAAATTAGAATATAATTAAAAATTATTTTAAAATTCATTTTAAGGCCTGATTTCGACATTACCTCTGTGATCCCTCGAATGGTTCATGAAAATTTAATTATATAATGTTATAGTTACCTACAGTGTGAATATGTCAATGCAGTGTAAAAAATGTCTCAATCACAACCAGTTAAGTTGACTTATCGGGAGAAAAGAAGGCTTGACCAAGCGGAGCTCAGACGCAAATTTCCCAATGCAAAGAGGCGTGGTCCAACTAGGGGGAAAAAATATGCTTCTAGAAATCAAAGGAATCATGAAGAAAAGATTAAGATTTGTTTCATGGATGAGCTTCGACGTGTGGTTGGTGAAAAAGCAGATGAGTTCATATGTGATTGCAGTAAATGGGTGAAGGAGTTTTGTCCTCTAAATTCTTGGTATGATATCTTTACTTATACAAGCTGCATATTACAAATGTTGTAACTGCACTCACTGATATATAAATATCCTTTCCCTGCATGGCTGCATGATTGATTTTAAGGATACAAATCTATATCATCTCTCGTTTATGCTTGTTTAATATTTGATTTAAAATGTTGTTTTATAGTTTTATGTCTACTTGAGTGGCTGAACCAAATTCTTTCCCATTCAGATGCCTAAACCTTCAAAAGTACTGAAAAACTGAGCATTTAATTTTATTGAGTATTTGTTACGGAAAGGACATCATAGCTAAATATGTCCTTTGGGCTACATAGCAGTCTTTTCTTTCTATTTGGTTTAAGAATCTATGGCCTTATGCCTCTCCATTTTTGTAACTAAGATTTCAGGTACAAGAGAATGTTTTAGTCTTCTTATAAGTCAATTATATACTAACCCTTGCGTAGTTAAATCACGTGTTCATATTCGAAACTATATTTCATGTGTTCATGACTTTTAATATTAGGAACTGGGCTAAAATGGACTCTGTTGCACAAGATAGACTCTATGCCAAAATTAAGGTGATGATCTGAGATGCGTAACACTACTACCATCTTGATCAATGTCTTCTGTATAATTTTATTCTACATGCGGAATTAAAGTTGCACATTTTGTTTGGTTTCCAGGGAAAGTATGACTTACCTGAAAGGGTCGATGATGTTGACGTGACTGAAGTATTGAAGCTTCAATGTTCTATGCTGTACAGAAACTGGAGATTTAGGCTAAAAGAGAGTCATTTTAGAGGAAAATCAAAAGCACAAGCCTCTAGCAGTAGACCTACTAATATTGACCGTGAACAATGGGAGTGGCTGGTTTACGAGTATTGGGGCAGTGAGAAACAAGAGGTAGTGTTATATTGTGCTAATATTGTTCACATATTTGGTTGATATAAGTAATACGTAGTGGTTATTAACATTTTAATTGATCTTGCATGTGAACTTGTAGGAGATTAGCAAAGTTAACACAATCAATAAGTTAAATCAAATTGAAACTCCAGCCAACGGTTCAAGGTCTACTGCAAGATTTTTTTATGACTTGGTTTGTAATTCGAGGCTATTATTAAATATTGGGGTTGCATATTTGCTTTATATACTTTTATTAACGTTGTGTTGAACTATTCTATTTGTAGATCAATGAACTGCCTACTCAAGTAACTCAAGATTCTGAAGAAACATTTGAGCCTGGTGAAATCCAAGAAGATCCTCTATACGTTAGATTATTCGAGAAGACTAAAAGGTACTATTACCAAATCAGAAGGAGCTACACTACAAGGTTTTATTGTTTAATTAATACCCAAACTAATAATTCTGAAAACTTATCAAATATTAGCATTTTAAATGTGTAACTATTATTGTTGTAACACTGTAATTATCATCAATAACATACAAACAATATTAAAATTATCTAAAGTTAGTTAAAACGCCCTGAGTTCGTTATTGTAACACTGTAAGAATATGTCTTGGAGTGCCCAGATCTACATGTTAAATGCTTAGTGGAGTAAAAGAATATGATCAATTGTCTGTGCATGCTATGAGACAAGCTAGATGTTCACAGAATGCCTCATATACAATTATGAGGCAAGGTAGATGTTTAGTTTTATGTTCTGTCAGACTATTTTATGTTATTGATAGTGCTTTGTTTAACAGGCATAAACCAAATGGAGAAAGTAATGGTTGGGAGCCAAATGCTGAAAAAAATTATCAAGAACTTAAAAAACTCCACCAAACTCAAATGGAGAAGCATGGTGAGGATACACTAACTGTGAAAGCTGCATATACAGAGGTTTTGAAGCCCAAATCTGGTTACGTGAAAGGACTTGGCCCGGGAGCTCGAACAACAACCAGGGGAAGAAGTGAAGCACAGAATAATGAACTAAATGTAAAGTTCTCTGCTGAAATTCAAATGTTGAAGAACGATGCCGCAGTGCGTGAGGCATCTCTTGTTGGTCAAATTGACACACTCAAGAAATCTAACGAAGAGTTAAGAGCATCAAATGATCAACTTAAAGCATCAAATGAAGAACTGAAAACATCTATTTCTCAAATGAGCATAGACGCCGTGGAACGTGAAAAGAAACTGAGAGAAGATGTTAAGAAAATGCTCGAGGAGATGAGGTAAATACTTACTGCCCTAAAAAACTTACTGCCTTTATAATTTAAGAATTTAATATTGATGCATGTTATCATAGATTAAGTATGCAACTTCCAGTAATAGAATAATGACTTTATACCATATAGATTCGTGCAAAATTTTGGGATTCTTTTTTATCATTGTTGTTAGACTGTATCTTTACATATATGCGAATATAATTAAATTTGGTGAGCAAAAGATTATAATGAATAAGACTGTAAGAAGCTTAAATAGAACTCAATTTTTTTACTCAGTTTGTGAAGTTGTGTTTTTCTGATAAACTGATTCCCATAAAAGCAATGTCTTTTTGTTTAGAAAGCATGATGTTTAAAATTTGTTTTTATAATATGCTAGTAATATTTAGTAAGTGACAATTTTTTTGCTATATTCTTTGCTAAGAAGAAAAAAACAAAGGCTGTTAGAATACGATGACATATGTATCTGTCATTATGAATAACAAAACGTAATCCTCATTTCAAAGTTAAGTTGTAAGTTGTAACGAAAACTTTCCCCTTAAGACCACCTTCAATTTGAAGAAAGTGTCTTGGTATTGTGAGAAGGCATTTTCTATGAGTGATTTAGATGTATCCTGGTTTATTTTTGGCGCAGAACTTGTTAGCAGTAGTGAAAGTTGTGATCTTAAATCACTTATTCATTGTTAAGCATTTATGCAAGTGATGAATTGACATTTATGAGTTCACCTGAGATGATTTATCATATTAGTGACCCTGATGAATTGACATTTATGAGTTCACCTGAGATGATTTATCATATTAGTGACCCTGGTGAATTGTCAAAATAATCTGTTCTTATGAAATTTTATTTTTAAATTGTTTTGCAGGATGGGGTTTTGATAGAAATGTTAAACGAGTGGATACTTCAAGGAATGCTTCTTAGATTAACGAGTTAATCTTGTTCATTATGTCGTTTATCATATGTATATTTTTATATTGTAAAAAACAGTGTAAATAAATTGACACAAAGTGAGTTGAAACTCACAAACTTCATATTGTTACAGTTTTTATCAATGTCAAATGATTGGATATGGAGAAAACAATTACTTTTATTGTACAAGTGCGCCTCATAATATTTTATATTTATTTCCGTCATTTAAATTTGCTATAAATATGATGGTAGCTATAAACATATGTTGCACAAAAGAATGTGTGACTAAATATTTCAATGCATAAATTCCATATAGGCTACACTTGCTAAACTTTGTTGCACAAAATACTTCTATGGGCATTGGAGGTTTGTGATGCACAAGTATTACTTTGGGCAACAAAAATTTTGTGTTGCAAAAGTATTACTTTGGGCAACAAAAATTTTGTGTTGCACAAGTATTACTTTGGGCAACAAAAATTTTGCGTTGCACAAGTATTACTTTGGGCAACAAAAATTTTGCGTTGCACAAGTATTACTTTGGGCAACAAATATATAGTTCATCACATAAAATATAATGGGCCACGATACTTAGGCAACGATCTCGTGACGATATTAAGTTAGTTGCACAAGAGAATGGGCAACAAAATTGTAGCTTTTAGTGACGAAAAATTTTGTTGCACAAAACTAATTTTCTTGTAGTGTGTGTATCTTAAACATAATACTACATTACTACGTACATAACAATGAAAAAGTAATTGATATAAATCTCTCAATTGTTTAAAAAATTATAAGTTTTATTTACTAATAAAACTGCCTTAAAAATACGAATTGAGCCTTTCAAGTTAAAACATTCAAATAGTACTTCGCTTATAAAGTAGTATAATATAATACTACCTCCGCTGAAAAGGTTCGTTATATTGATTACTAGTTCTCAAGCCCGTGCGATGCACGGGAAGTGTATAATTTAGCTAGTTTTAAATTTGATTTTTTTCAAGGTCATATATAATGTGATGCAAAAGTACATTAAACTCACTCTAATATAGAGTCCGTTTGACAATACTAAATTAGCTTATTTTGTTGAAATTGATTAAATTCTGGTTGAATAGGCTGAATAGGTGAAATCTTCTCAATCATAACAAAAATTTGTAAAATATTCGATTTGTAAAACAAAAAAAAAATTATATGAAAAATATTTAATATGATCTTCTACATAAGCATCTCAAGTAATATAATTGGTGTTTTTGGCCAACAAGTAAATATAATTGTTATGAACCCGATTTTAAAGAATTCATAATCGCTCATCCTCTAAATTACTTTATTATGCATCTCAAGTTTTTTTCTAATACTCCTCAAGTTATGTACCAATCAAGTTTTACTTTATTACGTACCAATCCCGTGTTTTTTTAATGTGACCCCAATACATGTATACACCCACTGTGCATATAAAATTTTATCAGTACTATACACAAATGTTGGTATATGCACTCCGTATCTTTGAAAAAAGTGGAGTCAAAATTCAAAAATAGTGAGATCTTACATTTTACTCATTAATAAGAACATCTTTAATTAAATTAAAAGTCTAGGTTTGATTTGGTTTGAATTAATATGGTTTGGTAGATGTTTGTTTTACATTTTATGTGACTTATTATTATTATTATAATTATTAAACTTTGATATGATCTGATTTAGTGTGGAACTTAAATCAATCTAATAAAAACACTCTGTTAAATAAAAATTAGGAATTTTTAAACTTATAAAGATTTCAAATTTGGATTAGGAATATAATGAAAGCATATTTAAACTCTAGTTGTAAAAATAAAGAAACAACCAATCATATTTTCTTTTTTGGCTATATAGCCTAAACATATTTACTTGTGAAAATATATATACAGATAGATATACATACATACACGTGTGTGAGGGAGATACTAATTTTCATCCTTATCAAATAAGGTAAGTTACCTGATCACAAGTATTATTTTTAAGAGATTATATATATATTTGATAATCTAATAGTATTAATTTCATTTTTAATTTCAACAATATGATGGTCATAGTTTTCATCACTATATTAATAAATAAAAAAGAATTGTATGAAGATGCAGAAAAATACAAAGTATTAACACATTTTTATCATTATCTCAACATTGAGTTTAGAAAAATATTATATTATATTTTAGAAAATGGGACTGGATATTTTAATCACATAAATTTGAAGACAAAATTAATTGCAATTTTGCTGATTTATCTATAAAGTGGGCAAAAAAAAGGATACTTCATCTCTTCGATAGAATGTACAGAGTAGTACGTAGTAAAAAATAAAAAGTATATAAAAATAATTACATGATTGTTACTGTGTGATCCAATACTTAAAATTTGATTATTAATTGTTGTGGTTCCAATTACTAAAGTTAATATTTCTCAAATACGTAAAAGATTTTGAAAAGTTACCAAATTAAATAGGGAAAGTTTCCGAAATAGGACTAAAAAAGTTCCCAAATTCCAAAATAGGGCTATCATGTTTTTATTCCCAAAATAGGAGTAATTATTACTCAGTTTGAAAAATGCTGTCATGTTTGAAGTCTGGTACTGTCAAAACATAATCCGGAGTACGTAGTAATAAGTCCCATTTTAGGAATAAAAACATGACAGACATATTTTTAAATTTTCACTTTTTTGCTCCTATTCCGGGTAATATTCTCAAATCTCAAATAAATAAGGTGGATTTCTACGGTCTTTTATTTTTCATATTAATATGCAATCAAAAATAGAATCTAATATAAATAAAAGGTACAAAAATATTGATTATTTTAAAATTTAATGAGCTAATAGGAATGTAATACGTATAAGAGGAATCTCTTATACGTAAAAGGAATCTATCAAAAGCATTTTACATTTATGAACGTATATATATTTTTTCTATATTAATTTTAATAGGAATCCAATAAAATCTTTTATATAATGACGTGGCAGGATTATGTGGCGCTTTGTATGCTCTTGAAAAGTTCCTCTTTTATATATATATATTGATTTTTTGTCAATGATGGCAAACTTGAAACAACGATTTTAATTATTATATTGTACGGAGTATATAATTTATAAATTTTATACTTTTATGAAAATATTTCGAATAAAGGATATTTTGATATAATTTTCATATTCTAAATAATTTTGTATTAAGAAATATTGTTAGCCAAAGTTAATTGTTATTGACCAAGAAAAGTCAATTTGACAAATCTTTTAAGAACAGAGGGAGTAAGTAAATTGTGAGTACATACACATTATGTGATTCTCCTAAATATGGTTGGATTGCCCAACCATGTCCTTCATTTGAAAATCGGAGCCTCCGATAACGTTATTGAGAAATATTAATCACGCATAAATTTTATTCAATAGAACGTAATTGGTCATAATCAAATTCGAAAAACAGGTATGACAAGTCATAATTTGAAAAGTTATGAAAGATAAAGTTTATATATTAAAAAATTCATAATCACCATATGACATTACTCAATTTTCGAATAAATCATTTTTTGTGATGGTAAACTTTGCAATGACAATCAATAAAAGTCAAGATTAAATTTTGCCAAAAAAGGTCAAGGCTAAATGTTATCACATAAAATATGATTTATACCTTGAAAGAGAGCTTCCATTAATGACACATTGTACATTGCAATATCAAGAGTAATAATGTGTAAAGATATCTTAAGATATTCATATGTTCAAAAGAAACAAATTTGTTCACTAAGACGGTGAATGTCGTTTATAAAGAAGTTTCCCGGTTTAAACCTAACAATGCGATGTTTGCCTGTTTGGTATGTGCGGTGTTGCATTACAATGTCTCTTTTTAATATGTTCTGTTTAGCTAAATTACTATTCACAATCAACAAAAACCTATTTGAAGTAAAATGATTAATTATTTATATATTTTATAAAATATACTCCGTATATTTTATAAAGTATTCAAACATTCACAACCTTCGCCCGGGGCAACGCTGGGTAAAACACTAGTTTGTCGATATAGGGGTTCAATGATTGAAAACTGCCCATCTAAGATCTAAAAGTCATAAATTTTATATTTATTATTTTAATTTTTTAAAATTTAATTTGACTTTAGTTAACAAATATACTTTTGGGAAGAAAAAAATGTACAAATGGTCCTTAAACTATCATCGCCGTATCATTTTGGTCTCTATATTAATAGATTTGTCATTTTAGTCCTTATTCTATTTAAAACTCGTCTGAACACTAAATTAATTGAATTGACTTAATCTATTTCCCAGAAATTAATTCTATTTCCAAGAAATTAAATCATTTTCCCTTTTGGATAATCTTGTGTGGCTCACATTCATTTACTTTTTTTTCTTGTACAACCACAACCATACATTTTCACTTTATTCTCACTTTCTTAAACTCCGATCCAAGTCAATGCGGAAACTATTTTATGGGACGGAGGGAGTACTTAAGATATTTTTATTAATAAACTAAGAAATAATTACATATATATGACCATTGTTCTAAAACTTGTTAGGTGCTAGTTCGGCGGTTGAGGGGCGCGTAGCGCCTAGGCGGCCTACTAGGCCGATTTTTTGACCGACTAAGCCTCTACAATTAGGGCCGCCTAGGCCGCCTAGACCGATCAATCGGTCCGCCTAGGCCGATTTTTAAAATAATGTATATGACTATAATAAATGCAGTCTACAAGAATGTAACAAGTGATTATATATGTACTGTAGTGACTTAATAGTAACAATTTTTGTTTAGTTTTTAAAGTTAAGTGATTATGAGATTATACCATAGTAACAACTACTCATATTTTTGTAAATAAGTTTCAATTCTGAAATATATTTCAAATGAGCACATAAGTTAAATAAAAAATTATACTCCCTCCGTCCCATTTTACTTAGTCAAACTTGATTTTTCAAATCAATGATGTCTAACTTTGACCGATTATATGTTTAAATAGAGAAAGTATTGATAATATGAAAATGGTATGAAAATGCTCTTTGTTAAAAATATAATCATAAAAGTATAAAATTATTAAATATTGTATAAATATATTAGTTGAAACAATTGGTCAAAGTTTACTATCTTTGACTCGTAAAGTCAAAGATGGCTAAGTAAATTGGGACAAAGGTACTGAGGTAGTATGAAAAAATAACTAAAATAACTAAAATCGACCTCTATAGTAACTTCAAGTCTTCAATCAATTCAGCACACAAAATTAAAAATTGATTGTTGAGGTTGGTAAGTCCCAAACAAGGGTCACCAAACACGCTGTTAGTATTTACCAATCCAGCTTGTCCACCATTTTAATTGGACAGATAAATATTTGCTCGTCCGTTCTGATCCGTTTAGGTATGGTATAGGTTTGTCTGAACTAGATAAATATATGATCTCTGTGTATTTCATAATAACTATGAAAGTTTGGTCTAGATTGATTTATTTAAGTCTGATCTGGTCTGATATGATCTGGGACTAAAAACAACCAACGTAAAAACATACTTATTATAAGAGAGAATTCTCTTAATAGGAGTAAAAAAGTTTTGAAATTCCAAAATAGGAGTATCATGATTTTTATTCCTTGAATAGGAGTATCATAATTACCGGCAGATTATGAACAGATTTTGTATAAGATGTATATTGAGTGCGCTCAGGGAAGGAGGAGTGTATCTGAATATAAAACTGAGTTTATGCGTCTGTACGAACGCAACGAACTAGGCGAGACTGAGGGGCAGAGGGTGGCTCGTTACATCAGCGGGTTAAAGAGCTCGATACAGCAGAAAATGGGTTTGCAGGCCGTTTGGAGTATATATCACAGAAGCCTCTACGCCGGCCTTGAAGGCAGAACTGATGGAGAAGTCTCCTAAAAACATTCCATCTTTTCACAAATTTATACCACCAAACAATCATGAGACAGTGACTGATGAAGGGGAAAAGAACGTGGTGCCAAGAGAAACACAACCTTTAACTAAAGGAAGCAATTCAGCGAGCAGTTCTAATCATGTACCCAACAAAACTCATAATCAAAAAGCACCTAACCCATATACCAGGCCCATTGGAGATAAATGTTATCGTTGTCAGGGTTACGAACATAAGTCCAATGTCTGTCCTTCCAGGAGAACTGTCGCCCTTGCTGAGTATGAAAAGGAAGGGGAAACTGACGAGTATGAAGGGGTCGAGTTTGCTGAAGAGGAAGTCGAGGAGAGAGTGAGTATTGTGGTCCAACATATTTTGCTCTCATCCAAAGAGGAGGGGCAGTGGAAGAAATTGTTACGTGCTCATTGCGCTATTAAGAATAAATTGTGTAACCTTATAGTTGATAACGGAAGTACTGAGAATCTCCCAGAAACTAGTGGAGTATTTGAAACTGGAAACAGAACCACACAAGGAGCCTTATGCCTTGGGGTGGGTGAGTAAGGGGTCACAGGTTAAAGTAACTCAAACGTGTAAGGTTCCTATTTCCATTGGAAGGCGCTACAAGGACGAGGTAGTGCGCGACGTTTTGAATAATTTTATCTATATGAGTTTATCATTTAACTTAATAAGACAAATGTCACATGCATATGTTTCTTTTGCAGGCTATGGAAATGACACATACATTGACTTTTGAATATACCAACAATAATTAGATTACAGCTATTCAAGTATTTGTACTCTTCGTATACTCCCTCCGTTCTTTTTTATTAGTCCCTTTAGGCTTTGACACGGGTTTTAAGAGGTAAGTAGTAGAGGTAATGTAAAAGGTGTAATGAGTAGTGGGTAAATGAAAAAGTAGGAAAGAGAAAGGGGTAATGGTAATAAAAGTGCATGGGGTATAAAGGTATATTTAAAGTAAAAATTTTCCTTAAATGGAAAGGAGGATAGATAAAAAAAACATCCCAAAAAGGAAAGGACTAATATTAAAGAACGGAGGGAGTACTTTGTAATCCTTTAATTCACTCTGTTCATTGTTTATAATTATTTATGTTTGTATATATATATATATATATATATATATATATATATATATATATATATATATATATATATATAGGGGAGGGTTCTAGTGAGAACCCCTCTTAAAATGAGAACTCGTGAGAACCCCTAACAAACGGTGGTATTTTTGGCTGAATTTTTTTGTAGATGTTCCTCATCAAGTCTAATACATCCATACCAAATTTGAGCAAAAAATTCAATCGGGAAGGTCGTCAAATTATTTTTGAAAGAAAACTGGTCCGGAATATATATATAAAACGCAGTTTTCTTTCAAAAATCATTTGACAACCTTCCCGGTTGAATTGTTTGCTCAAATTTGGTATGGATGAACTAGACTTGATGAGGAACATCCACAAAAAAATTCAGCCAAAAATACCACCGTTTGTTAGGGGTTCTCACGAGTTCTCATTTTAAGAGGGTTCTCACTAGAACCTTCTCACACCCTCACCTTCAAGACTCCAGTCTCTTCTCATTTTCTTTTCTTATTTTTTTAAGCTGTGTGAGTATATTGCTAAGAAGAAAAACAAGATGGCAGTTTGGTTGTTTTCGAAGCTATATGATACAAATATACATGAAGTTAAGATGTAAATTTACTACTACTCTTTCTTTATTACTCGTTAGCTTCCAAGCATATTTACGTAGTATTATTACTTTTATTTCAATCTACTAGACTACTAGTATAGATAATGTACACATGTGCAAATGTACAATCCATGTTCATTCTGATTTGTTAGTTCCAGAAAGTCACTACACTATAAATGGCTTAAGGCAACACTTAAAAATATTACATTACACCCTAATGTGTTGCCTTAGTAACTTATGGCAACACTTTTACAATTTTTAAAGTGTTGAAATTTTGGCCGTTACTATAGGTACCAATAGCAACAAACTTTGGCTAGGGCAACATCATTCTCCAAAAAAACTAAAGCAACACATTTTATGCAACACTTGGATATTGCAACGTTTAGGAGCAACATTTTGCAACAAAATTCAATGTTTTATTATTATTATTATTATTATTTAATTATTTAAAACCCACAAATTTAATACAAATTGATGCAATTTTGAGTTCAATTAGGCACTGGATGCATCTCTCGCAAGTCATTTTGAAGTGTTCTTGATTGCAACATTATATTTATTTACAACGATTGCACCTGCTATCAAGATGATTGCAACATTTATTTACAACGATTGCACCTGCTATCAAGATTACAATCGATGATCACAAGCGGACTTCGAATAACAATAAATTCAAAAAACCATAATCCATATTGATACAATTGTATCATAGCAATTACAACTCAAAGAAAGGTTAAAAAAGCTCCTAATTTAAAAGCCAAAAACTATTATAATGTTCCTTCAGCCAAAATGAGAGTCAGCCTCCATACTTTAGAACAAAGAGCAAACACCATCAACACCTGAAGACAAACAAACCTGAGTCTAATGGCCTGAGAGGCTGAGGCTGAAACGGATCATATATATATATATATATATATATATATATATATATATATATATATATATATAGATAAGAGATCACATACTAACCATGCTTAAAATACTAACTTACTAACTCAATAATATGCAACACATTGAACTTCAATATGCAGTACAAATAATGTAAAGATGCACACTGTGAATTTGAATATGCAATAAAAACTTTTCTCAAAAAAAAAAATATGCAATAAAAACAATATGCAAAACTTTGAACTTTAATATGCAGTACAAATAATATGCAACACTTTGGACTTCAATATGCAGTACAAATAATGTAAAGATGCACCGTTTTTGATAGTTTGTAGGTTAGCATGATGGTTACTTGAGCAGCTAGCTTGCAAGTTACAAGTCGTTCAAATATGGTGTTACAACTAGCTCTTCTAAAGAGAAACAAATATCCTATTCCTTAGCTTCTCAATTGCTTTGAGCAAATACTGTTCTTTTCTTTTCTTTTTGATTATTTAGTGCGATTATCATATTTTAGTGAAATTAAGGGGTGTTTGGATCTGATTCTGCTTCTTCAGGAAGCAGAAGCAAAAGTTGAAGTGTTTGAGGAAAATGCAGAAATGATTCTGGTGTTCTAATTTACTCCTAGAACCAGTTTTTTTAGAAATTGGGGATACTGATTTCTTAAAATTGATTCTGATTCTATTTGTACTTCAAAAAAGAAGCGGAATCAGAATTAGTTCTAAACATCCCTAGAGTGTTGGAGGCTTTAAAATTATGAAAAAGGGTCAAATATGTACTTTGTGGAATATTAAAGGCCCTCCAAAATTTAAGTACTTGGCTTGACAGGTGCTTGATGGCACGCTGCCTACGGTTAGTAATATTCGCCGAAGGGGGGTTGAGATTGCGGGTGGATGCAAGTTGTGTGGAGCAGGGGAGGAGGATACGGCACATGCTCTTCGGGACTGCCAGAAGGTGGGAGAGGTGTGGGCGCAGGCTGGGTTCCCTTTACAGGAGCAGCAGGTTGAGTTTGAGGAATGGTTTAAAGACCATATTACAAAACTGGGTGTGGAGAAGAGCCGCATGTTTCTCGCGGTGGTATGGTGTGTTTGGAAGAGAAGAAATGAGGCAGTTTGGAATGGAGTGGAAATGGGGGCGAGCGAAGTCACTCGCATGGCAACAAGCATGTTAGACACTTGGGGGAAAGCGAATGAGACGGGAGGAGCGGTATTGGCATCACAGCATCAGCTAGGTGAAACAGGGAGGTGGCGGCGGCCTGTGCAGGGGGTGATAAAACTCAATGTTGATGGAGCAATCAATACTCCTGACGGAATTCGAGCTTGGGGCTGGGTAGCTCGAGATGAAACTGGCGAGATGGTTCGAGCAGGGGGCGGTTCCAAAGCGGCTACATGGACAGTTGAGGAGACGGAAGCGTGGGGTGTTAGAGAGGCGGTGCTGAAAGCTTTGGAGGCAGGCTGGCAGAATGTTGAAGTGGAGACGGATTCCTTAAGTGTATTTCAGCGCATAAAGAAGGCAGAAGAAGGCAACGCTTACATTGATCTCATTATTGATGATATTAGAAGGATTTTGGTAACAAAGAGTAACTGGTAAGTCTCTTTTTGTAAAAGTTCTGCGAATACGGTGGCACATGCTTTGGCAAGGTCCCGTGTAAATCTCTCAGATCATAGTGTTCAGTTTGATTACATTCCACCTTGTAGTTGTAGCCATTTGGCAAATGATTTAATAATATAAGTTATCTGTTCGGTGACCAAAAAAAAGAAAGCATCAATCTAACCAAGTTACTTGTTGCCTGTTGGCTACTTTTAAATAGCACGTAGTATATGTATCTTGCTCATTAGAGAGCTAGCATGCAAGTCCAAATTAAATGTCATACTCCGTACTAATTAAATAACAATGAAAATGGTGTTTTTGGGACAACTAATGTTCAAAGTTGTAAAGTTTTCTGAGAAGGAAGGAGAACACATGTATTGATACTATTTTGGTCCCAAATTGATTTGTAAAGTCAACATTTTTAATCAACCAATGTTAAAGTTAAATCCTCCTTATTGATAATGAATAATTGAATCTTAATAATTAAAATTTACTTATTCAGAAACTACATTACAAATTTTTCAAAGTTGCAAACTCAAAATTAGAATATAATTTTTAAGGGAGAATTTGACTTTGTATCCCAAGTTTTGGTTGATATTGGAATTTGCATCCCATTTTCAAAATCATTAATATTTGCACCCTATTTTACTATGTAATCATTTGACTTTGCACCCCGCTCCTTTACATTTTTGAGTTAATGGGGTGCAAATATTAATGATTTTGAATATGGGGTGCAAAGTCTAATATCGCCTAAAACATGTGGTGCAAAGTCAAATTTCTCCAATTCTTTTTTTTTTTTTTTTGCAAAAACACTTTTCCCCTAATTTTAATTATTAGGTTTTATATTAATTTTAATGTGTTCTGTTTTTTTAATATAATGGGTTTTTTCTATATGGTCTATTATAAAATTCAGCTTAGTTTGGTTAGGTGCATGTTGGTGAGAACATAATGTTATATTTTGAACTTTTGATTGGGAGAATTTGACAACACGGTCTATTTTTGGGAGATATTAGACTTCACACTTTATTCTTTTTTTATTTTCAAAGTCATTAAGAAATTGGGGGCATCGGAAGCAAAATACTACGGAAATTATTACACTATTCTAAAGTTATGTCAACTTATTATATTAACAGTGAACCAAGATTTTAAGAAATTGGGGACATTGGAAGTAAATTCCAATTTCCCGTTGTTAAATGAATAGTTTTTTTTAATATGTTAGGTCACCTGATTTTGATCATCTATATTTAGTTTTGTTGTTGTCAAAGTATGTCAAACCTTCTTTTTATTATCCGTGTATTAGACTAAGATCTCGTGTACTTGTTCTACTTATGCTTATTGTGCTATCTTTAGTGATTAACTGATTAAGTACTCATACGCAGCACACAGGGACGGAGCTACTAGGGGGTCAGGGTGGTCAGCCGACCCCGCTGAAAATTTAGAAGTGTAGAGCTCTGAATTATTTTCGATTTGATATATTATGGCTCTCGTAACTCATTATGAGTAAAAAGTTATGACTTCTGTAAAATCAGCACTATTTAAGTTTGAAATTAGTAAAATTTTGAATTTGTGATGTGTAATATTAATTATATGGGAAAATTGTCAAATAAGTCCACTTACTTTGTTCAAAAAGTCAATTGAGTACACGTACTATTTTGTGAGTCAATTAAGTCCATTAAGTATAAAAAAACAATCAAACAGGCTTTTTCATAGGTTATAAACCGGTTACCCGGTAAACACCTACATGGATGTCCTTGATGGCATTTTTTAATTGTTATCTAATTTTTTTAATTTTCTTTTCTTCTCCTTTTTCATTTTTCTTTTTCTCTTCTCCCTCTTCCTCTTTCTTTCTTCTTCATTCCTTGTCCGCTATTTTCTGTATTTACCCGGCCCCTTGCACTTCTTTGTCAACTTCTTCCAATCCCTCCATGTTTGCCCCCTCCCATTAGAACAACCTCCGGCTCTATACTTTGACCCCCACCTCTGCGTCGTCGGTCTCTGCCTCTTCCATTGGAATGACCTCCAAGGATCCAATCACCTCGACCTTCATCGATCTTCGCCGCCTCATCCATTGGACCGACCTCCAATCGTCCCAGCCTCCGTCTCCGTCACCTCTGCCTCAATAGTTACAGGCTCCGCCATCTCTTACTCGGCCTCAGTCACTACCTCCGCAGGCCAAGCTTCAATAATAGGCGAGTAGATAGATATTCAGACCTTCTAGGGAGAAGATTGAAGAAGAAGGAAGCTTGGGATAATATTTGGGATTCACCGAGAGTGGGGAGATCGAAGCAGCCGGTCGTGGACTGGTAGACACAGAGAAAGGAAAGAGAAAAAAAAAATGAAAAAGAAAACGAAAACTAATGGAAAACTGTAAATAAAAAACCAACTGGACAGACACGTAGGCAGTCAAACGTAGGCAGTCAACCGGTTGACTACCCACAAAAAAGCTGATTTGGTTAGTTTTTCATACTTGATGGACTTAATTGACCAGTTAAAAAGTACATGAACTCAATTGACTTTTTGTGAAAAGTACGTGGACTTATCTGACAATTTTCCCTAATTATATTCACAAAATATCGTGTAATTCACTCGTTACTTACGTGACATGACTTAGGCACAGAGCAAAGACAACATATCTTACTGCTACGGAGCCTACGAGTGCCTACTCAATAGATGATTCTTTTCTAGTAAGAAATCTTGATACTAAACCGAGTAAGATCGAAGAGAACCATAAACTACTAGTGTAAGACAATGGGTCTCATCCGAGGTACTAACTCAACTCTTATAAAACAAGTTTATAATATATGTGACATATACGAAGTATATTAACTACATATACTCTATTAGTTTCGTTTAAACTATCATTTATCTAAGCTACATTCAATTCGGGTATTGTCTAAAAATAATCTACCGTTTTGATTCTATGTAAATTTGATTTCGACCCCGCTGAGTCATTTTTCTGGCTCCGCCCCTGAGCACACTGTTAGGCTTGGCCTCTATAACATGTTGAGAATGTGGCTCAAAGGGTTTATCAAATTTTCTTCTATACAAATACAAAGATGGATCGGTTGGCTACTACATGTGACTGTAAAACCACTCGCACTATCAGATCATGACATGTTTGATTGTTAGACCATCGGTATAAATGTAAATCATCCACCCCTTACCGCTTGTATGAGATGCTATAAATTTCATTTGTGCATTGTGCAGGATGATCGAATCTTTAATTATTGTGATGCTATAAATTACTAACTAAGAGCATCTCCAATGCTGAAATGCACACGGCACACATGTGACATGAGAGATAACCACATAAATATTAATAAATAAACTGTCTATCTCCTTATTTAAATGACTTTATACTAAGTTTTGTAAATTTTTCTCTGCAATGTCAACAAAAATGTCTACATCTACACATGCTTTTTGACATTGTGGATTTTTTTTTATATCAAAATTGAACAAAACCATTCAAATGTGGAGATAGATAATTTTTTTACTAATATTTATGTGGCTATTTCTTATGCCACATTTCCACCGTGCACATTGTAGATTTCTAGCATTGGAGATGCTCTAAACCACAAAATAACAACTACTAGTAACTGTTATATGGAAAAAACCAACATCATTTAAACCACCAACCTTTTTTCAAAAATTCTCACACATGTGCACAGATTGTGTTGACTACAAATTTAATTCTCTGAATTGATTAATACACATTCACTTGCTCGTGTGTGTTGTGTGTAAGGCAAACCTCATCATGTGTGGTAAGATCACCAAAAATTAATGTATCACCATGGGTAGATGCAAACAATTGACAGGAATTTTGTAGCTAATCAAGAATGTAACTCTACAAATGAATTATCAACTTGAATAGATTAATGTCCCTATAAATTTACGAAAATGAAGATTCAGAGGATTTTTATTTAACATTATACATTAGAGCTCAGTTTTAAGAAGTATTAAATCCATGAAATATCATATTAACATCGTGTTTAGAATTAATCTCAGTCATAATATTAGTGATGCGTCAGTCCATGAAAAAAGATAAGCCAATCACTAAAGACTCATACTGGCCTATAAATACATATTGATTTGTAGTGTGTTTGACGAGAATTTCTTGTTGTACACACTTTTATACTTACCTTATACTCAAGATGTCTATGAAAGTTTCTTTTTTGTCTTTGAATCCGATTCACAGACAAAATAATTTGTACAAACATATTTTTTTATGTCTGTGACCGAGATTCACAGATAAACAAAAATTTGCCCAAACAATTACCGAATGTTTAGATGTTGTGAAAAAAGTAGTCCATCATCATATACATAATACATTATAATAATTCAAAAGTATCACTATCCAAGACAAAACTATGAATTCATCCAATTCCATCCATTTGGATCTGTTAAATGTACGTCTATGCATTCTCCCCGCCTAAGCAATAATGTTTTAAAACTATGATCCATCCCATTCCATCCATTTGGATCTGTTAAATGTCCATGCATTCTCCCCACCTAAGCAATACGGAGTAATGTTTTGTTTTATTAGCCATCTATCTGAGTCCATCTATTTCAATTATAACTCATCCAAACAAGAAAGGTTTCCTACACTTTCCCTCCCCTCCCCTTCCAATGAATAACCTTCAAAACTTTCCCCTCCTCTCCCCTCCAAACTCCCAAACAAGCCCTAGGAGAAATCATTTACAAAGAAGTATACTCTACATCTTAAACCAGATAGAGAAAAATTGGACACGATTGTGTAAACTTAACAAAAGACTAGTAAATGAAACTTATTTCCGATTAATAAAACTCAATCAAATTACAATAGCATGAAAGGAGTAGGCTAATTATTTTTACTGGACCGAGTGAACCAATCTTTCTACATCGCATATCTCCAAATTAAAGGTGCAAGAAGAATCAGTGGTACGAATGAAGAAAAAAGATTACATGAACGCACAAATTTCATAAAATAAAAGCAAAATTGGAAGAGGAAAATTCATTACATACACAAATATCATTGGCATCAAGTTGCATTGATTTCTTAATTTAAATTGGGAATCAGTTGCGCTTGAGTGAACATACCCATTGCTAACATATGCGCCTTCAATTACATTGCAGGTAAACTTTGAACTCTTTTTCAATAACTATACAAGTGTACAACATTTAAAAGCTGCACAAAACTAATTATCTATGTTCTAAAAATTGTTCTAGGCACCCAACTAGTCCCTGCCTAGACACCCGCCTAGCCGCCTAGGCGCTAGGTGCTGGGCTGGCGCCCGGCTGATGCCTAGCGCCTTTTGGAACATTGCTAATTCTACACTTGCTTTTTTGAAGTTTAGGATAATATTCCATCAAACCTAAACATAATGTAAAGAAATGTGGAAATATATTTTGTCTGCATAATCACCTCCATTTGGGACTAAAGTTGGGATGTTGTTGCGGACTTGCGTTATAATTACCTCCTACATAAATGAATTTGAAAATTGAGATATTCCCTTTTATTTTCAAAAAACTGAAAAGTTTGTCAACTATGAGACAATAAAAAAAAATAAAAGGAGTTCATACTAATTAGGCATGGAGCCGGGCCAGGTTGGGCCCGGTAGGGCCTTTTGTGATTGGGGGAAGGCCCAGGACCGGCCCGGGTAGCCACTGTCTCTGAGCCAAGCTGGGCCGGGCCGGGCCTCAAGCCAGTTTATATTTTTTTCCCCTTTTTCTGATTAACCCCCGACTTCCCCCCCTCACCCCCACACCCCCCTCCCCCCAAACCACCCCAAATGGCCCAAAATTCCCAGCCCAACTCATCAAATAAAAAAATGAAAAAAAAAGAATATGGCCCCAAGCGGGCCTGCCCCGGCTGGGCCGGTTCCTGATTTACCTCACCCGAGCCCGCACCAGAAAACCCACGGGCCAGGTCTACCCAGACCGATCCCTGGCCAAGCCACCGGGACGGGCCACCTGGCCCGAGTTCACCACTAAGGCCAATAAATACTCCATACCCAAATTTGTAGTTTTAAATGCAAACAAAATAATAATAAAAAGAGAAAAGGGTCATATAGGATCTCGAACTTACAAAAAAATGTCAAATAAGGCCTTATTTGGGATGCTCTGTCCGGCCGATGCCATTTGGGGCAGTTCCCGGTGGAATTTTTTGATGAAATTTTTTAAGCATCTTTATCATTAAGTCTAGTTTACTCATACCAAATTTGAACTAAAACTTCAATCGGGAGGGCATTCAAAATGAATTCTAAAAGACAACTGCGCAGTTAAAAGAGCAGTTATCTTGAAGAATTTATTTGAATGCCTTCCCTATTGAATTTTTAACTGAAATTTGGTATTAGTAAACTAGACTTAATGAATCAAATGCTCAAAAAATTTGATCAAAAAATTCTACCGGGAATCGCCCCAAATGGCGTCGGCCGGACAGAGCATCCGAAATAAGACCTTATTTGACATTTTTTGGTAAGTTTGTGACCCTATCTGACCCTTTTCCCTAATAAAAAAGGATAGTCTACCTAAATCAATACGTAAGATTAGGCCACAGTATTTCATATCAAATTTTGCAGTTTAAAATGCAAATGATTAGCATTGCAAATGCCCTAGCATTGCAAATGCCCTAAGACACCTTTTTCATAGATTTTGACAAATGTTCCCAATTGAAATAAAAATAGAAACTATCAAATAAACCCTCCTACTATAACTAAAATAAATAGTGAGTCTTCGTACTATCAAATCACCCAATATAAACAAAAGTTCAATTTTCTTGTTCGGCGGGCCCTAGTTTTCTGGCCCGAGGCCCGGCCGGGCCCAGGCCCGAACCGGCTTGGGTCCAGCACTAGATCCTCCCACTATAAACAAAAGTTCAATTTTCTTTTTCGGCGGTTGAGAATAAGTACTTCTGGTAAATGCTGATCTGGACACCTACGTGGCACTACTTTTTATTTTTGTTTTTTCTTTTCTTTTCCTCTACCAGTTTTCTTCTCTCTTTATTTCTTTTTCCTCGGCTGGTTGTACGGTTCTACCACCTGCAACATTCTTATCTTCTTTCCTTCTCTTTTTCTATTTTTTTCCGTCTCCCTATCACTTTTTTCTTCCTCTCGCTCTCTGCTCCCTAGCTCCATGTTTTTTCCGGTGAGTTCGCTGTCCATCTCAACAACCACAGCCCACCCCCAATTTCAGCAATTATCCCCCTTTCCTTTCCTTCCCATTCTCCCTTAGTTCTTCTCTTTCGGTTTTTCTTCTCTTCTTTGGATACAGAACTTCTTCCTCTCTGTTCCTTTTGTTTCTCTTTGTCTAATTTGGTAACAAAGACCTCTATTATGAATGTCGATGAAAAGCGTCTCCTGTAGCGAGGGGATGAGCTAGAGCTTAACGTCGCCAAAGCAAGCGTATGTTGCCAGACTCCACTGCCAAGTTCTTTTCCAGAGTCTGCTGCCGCCATCCAAGATCTGCAATTTGCTAGGGCCCAATCAGGGAGGAGGGGAGAGATAGTTACATAATAAAATAAAGAAACAAAAACTTTAAAGAAAAAATGTGAAAGAAAAACGAAGAGGAAGCTCGGAGCACAAGGGTGTGAAGAAGTAACAGGGGAAAGAGGATTGAAGTTGGACAAACAAGGGAAATTCTTGGTGTACACTTTTTTATACACATCAGTACACCCGATTGTCTGTGCAACAAAACAAGTCGGGTTTTGTCTGTGAACTGGCATTCACAGACAAAAAAAACTCTCACATACAGTGGGGTGTACTAACGTGTATAAAAACGTGTACAATAGGAATTTTTCGACAAACAAAGCGCGAGTGAGAAAGAAAAGCAAATAGGAAATAGAAAAAAGAGTGAAAGTAGTCACGTGGGTGCCATGTGTGCATATTAACTTGAATACCGGTAGTTTACTGGTTGTAGGTACGATTTGAATGTTTTATACAAGTTGGAGGGTTTGGTTGAGTGATTGAATAGTGAGGACTTAATTCACTTTTTGAACATAGTACATTGACTTATTTGACTGTTTTCCCAAATAAAAATGATCTCAAAACAATATGGATATTAATTTAACATCACTGTATTAAAAACATTTGTCAGATTTTGATAATGAACTAGTAAATTGGGAATACCTATTGTACATTGTAGTCTTCAGAAAAAGACTGTAAAACTGTGCTTGTCACGATCCATAATTGTATATAGAACGTTTAGCTTTGTTCCTCGAACATTTCATCAAGCAGTTCCACACTTCTTTTGTTAGCCTCACCACCCGTCAGTAAAGTTGTAAGAAACCTTGGGCAGAATGTAGGACATTCCAAGTTACTACACATATCCTACTCCATTGAAAACTCCGTAAGATTCACATCATTGGAAAAAGTTTGGCTAGTAGAACAATGAAAAAACGGTAATATGACCATATGAATACAACACTGCTAAATCTTAATTATCTTTTTCAGTTCTTATGTTATTTTTATCTTCTATCTTTTTTATGATCTTTTATCTTTCTTATATTCTTATGTTATTGTTATCTTATATTTATCTTTATCTTATCCCTTTATCTTATCTTTTTTCCCTTTATCTTTCTTCTCCTTTTCGCACATTGTTGTTGTTGTTGTACTAAATTACTATACTACGAACACTTGGGTTTATCATCAATTACACCTCATAAACCCTAATGGGACAGAGTTAATGTAACTTTTCATAACCATACAAAAGTTGGCATTATGAGAGATTAACCGTATGAAGGGTATACTCAGTTGCCACTCCAAAACAGATATAACATCCATTCTAATGTTGAACTAAAACTGAACTTTTTAAAGCAATAGGTGTTATTTTGCCTATTTGCCTAAAAGTTCAATTACATATGTAGGATCATTAAAACGCAAATAATTACGAAGTGTATTTAAAATGAGAATGGGGTTCAAAGTGTGACAAACCATTTGGTTAGACACTCCTTGTGCAGTGATATTTGAGGCATCCACTTCCAATGGCCCCTAATGCATGCAAGAATCATATTAGAGTATTATTCTATATATTTATTTATTTACTTCGGTACGATAGCAAAACAACATGTATCAATGTCTGGCCATAAAGTTTCTCACCTTTCCCTTTTTATTAGCATAGCTCCCATTACCTTCATTTTCATTCCAAGAATCAACTCTTTTTGACCCTCTACTTGTGGGTGAAACTTCAATGTCAGACACCTGCTCTTTAGCTAAAACTGTGCTTTTGTGATTTGTTTCTTCAATGCCCTGGATGACATGTGTCGAAAGCATGCCACGTCTTAAATCCACATTAGTAAAACCATTTACATTTGCGCATTGTTCCATAGCTTCTTTGATGGCACCAACTGCAATATTATAACTCTCCAGAGAAAGCGACCCTTCTTCACCCAATATTATGGCTCGCCGACATAGATCATTATAACGGCGGACCTTGGATTGTACATCATCCAGATTTTCGCTGATACATATCCTGCTTTTAGCAACATTGGTCCAACGCTGTAAAACATATTTCACTGGAATTTTGAAAAACCCTGACATTTGGAGGACCACAATAGCATGCCTACAAAGGAAACCTTGGTATTCAAACAGATGACAAGAACAGTATATTTCCAGATTTGATTCAGTCCACTCCACAGTGTAATCTAGGTCAGTTTCGATGTCTTTAACAGCATATGTCATTGTCATGTCACCTTTTTCTTTTTTAAGATGACATGCTGCTGCTCCCAACACTTCAACTTGGAATTTCTTAAATATTTCATGAGTATAGATTTGAGACAGCTGTTTCTCAAAAGGCGATGGAGTGTTTAGCTCAGCAGTTTCATGCCATGCATCAAAGTTTGATTTGGCTTCTTCTTCGTATCTGTCCTCAAGGATTAGCTTACACTTTCCTATGAATTCCCTCAAGGAAGTATCACTGTGGATATACTTGTCAAGTAAAGAGTTCATACTTTCAGCTCTGGAAGCAGTAGATAAGCCAGCAAAAGAAATTCCCTTCATAAAAGTTGGAACCCAATGTTTGCGATCTTCATACAATGACTGAATCCATTCAACATCTCTAAGACTAAATCTATCAAGCAATTTCCACCATCTTTTTTCAAACTGTTCTTCATCACATGACCTATGAATGCATTTACTCAATTTTGCAATGAAAAGATCATGCCACAGGCTAAGGTAGTCAAGATGCCTAGGGATCTTCTCCAAAACACACCACAAGCTAAAGTAGTGATGGGTGTCCGGAAGTGCTGCTGAAGCGGCGGCTTTGATGGCAAGGTTTTGGTCAGTGAGCAATACTTGTGGGCCTCGCCCACCCATTGCCAAGCACCATGTTTTAAACAACCAAAGAAAGGTATGCACTGTCTCGTCAGCTATCAATGCACATCCCAGTAATATTGGCTGGATGTGATTGTTTACACCAACGAAATAGACCATTGGGATCCTATACTTATTTGTGAAATATGTAATATCAAACGAGACCACATCTCCAAAATTAGCATAATCCTTCATGCCTTTGGCATCAACCCAAAACACATTTCTAAGTCGATGCTCCTCATTCATGTCCACAGCATAAAAGAATCCTGGAGTCTCTTCTTGCATGTGCACAAAGCGTTCAAGCAGCATTTGAGCATCTCCTTCTTCTAAAGCCAAACTGCGGCCCCTACCATGCTGATTCATAAATACGTTATCAAAAGAGGTAGAAATCTGGTAGGTGCCATACAGGTTTGACACGGTGGAAAGAGCCCTTCTCCTCCGAATTTTGGGATCACTCTTTATAGGATCAGAAATCCGGTGGCTCCGAAAAAGATGCACTTGCGCTGGCAAAAGGTCATGATTATGCTCTCTCACAAAACTATGGATGTACCACTTCCCATTCTGCTTTCTCTTAACATGCATGCTAGCCTTGCAGCCTATCTTGGGAGAAGGTCTAGGGTTTTTTGCGTCATCTGACTGCTGCTTATTGCCATATCTTATGCAGGAAAACTTTGCATCAATGAATTCTTTGGAAGCCCTAGAGCGACGGCTGCTTAATTTGGCAGTGCCAAATCCAACTGATTTGGCATATTCTTTGTAAAATTCGTATGCTGCCTCATGAGATTCAAACTCCATCTCATCCTGAGGCTCCAAATTATTGCTCCCAGCAGCCATACTGGACTCCATAATCAGGGCTGGTCCTGCTTGTTTGAAAGCGAACTTGTAATTTATAATGGGCTTAATTTAAAAACAAATTATAAAAAACCTTTTCAATGTAAACTAACATGCATAATAATAATAATATTTCCCAGAATTTATTTAAAGAAAAGATTTATAGTTTCATTAGATTTTACAAAGTAGAACCACCGTTACGAATAAAAAATATAGAAATAATAAATAATTAATCAAATTCATTGCTTGCTGAGTATTGCGAAGTGAAACCATTAACCCTAACTTCATAATCAAGCTTTTATAACACATTATAATTCGAAAACTTTGCCAAACAAATTAACACCAAAAGATCCCAATTTAATCACATAACAGAAAAATGAAGTAAATGTTTAAAATTCAACAAATGAATGACTATGAAATAATCACTTAAAAATAGGCAGAACTGCAACATCAACATATAACCTAAATCAGTATTCAAAATTCAAGTTTTCAACAAATCAATTAATTAAGAAATCAACTAACCTCAACATCAACAAGGTCTGAAGGCAGAACAAATCAACAGAAAACAATCAAGAGTTATGAATATGATACTCCGTATTATGATTATATGAACTAATCAACATATCAACTAAGCATTTATCAACAACTATGAAGTAATCAAAAAAAAAGTTAACTAGCATTAGAGGAGTACCGAAATTCCAGAACTCCCAGAAGGTGAGAAGGGCCGAACGCAAACCGCAGGGCCTTGGATTCGAAGGGGGAGAAGAAAGGCTGAAGCCTGGCGGCAGGCGTCAAGGCGTGCAGCACACCAGAAGGATGAGACCGTGAGCAATGGTCAGGGGCGGACGGTACAGACTCAGGGGCTGTCGCCCCCCAACAATTGTTTTTAGTAAGTATATATGTATATATAAAATAAATTTATCCCCAACAAATAATTGTCGCCCCTCCAAGAAAAAAATTGAACCCCCAACAAATATTTTCGCCCCAAATCTTGCCCCTCAAATATTTGCAGCAACTTGTTCTGTTTTAGAAGATGTTGAAGAGAATGGAAATAGCTATTCTACTCGTGGAGATGCAGCTGGAGCACTTAAGATTAAATCTTTTGATTTTGTTTTCTTCTTGCATCTTATTAAAGAAATTATGGGCATTACAGATCTTCTATGTCAGCATCTCCAAAAGAAGACTCAAGACATAGTAAATGCTATGCATTTGGTGTCAAGCACCAAAATGTTGATCCAAAAGTTAAGGGAGGATGGATGGGATAACTTCTAAGAAATTGAGAAAGAGTTTTGCAAAAAGAATGAGATTGAAGTTCCGTATATGAAGTCTCCTTATGTGATAAAACGCAAACGCCACGATCAAGAAGGGGTTGATATTGAACGTCATTATCGGGTTGATATGTTTTATGCAACCATAGATTCACAATTGTTGGAGCTGAATAGCAGATTCAGTGAACAAATAATGGATCTTCTTACTCTTAGCAGTGCTTTGGATCCTAAGGACTCCTTTAAGTCCTTTAACATAGATGATATCTGTTCTTTAGTGGATAAATATTACCCCTTTGATTTTATGGAACAGGAGAAGGTGGGCTTGAGGTTTCAATTGCAACATTATAAGCTCAATGTTCTAAACCATCCAAAGTTGGCGAATTTGTCTAGAATGGGTGAACTTTGTCAAGGATTAGCGGAGACGGAGATGTCAAAAGTGTACTTTCTTATTGATAGATTGATCCGACTTTAATTGACTCTACCGGTTTCGACAACAATAACAGAAAGGGCTTTTTTAGCAATGAAAATTATAAAAACAAGGCTTCGCAATAAAATGGAGGACGAGTATCTAGCAGACAACCTTGTTGTTTATATTGAAAGAGAAATTGCTAAAACTTTTGACTCAAAAGCCATCATTGAGGAATTTATCTCGTTGAAGGAGTGCCGGACACAATTCTAAGGTACTAACTTTATTATTGTGTAATAATATATTTGTCCTTTCTTCTAATTTTTGCTTACTGTGTAATACTTCATTTAATAACTATCATATTAAGGTTATAACTTATTATTATTATTAGCGTCTAGATTTTTTTTTGGTTAATTTACCGCCCCGCGATAACAATTTCCTGGGTCCGCCCCTGGGCAGATGGCAGTGCTGAATTGGCGACTTGGAGCTCCTGATGGTTCGTTGATGCCAAGTCAATGCTCTATGCTCCAGTGTGTTTCCAAGTGCTGACTCCTTTAGTCTTCAAATCTGAATAGTTTTATTCGATACTCCATATAGCTTGTTAGCAGATATAATTAGCTCCATCTTTTGCTATTCTTGGGCAGTAGTGCGCTAGGCTGTTGGACCAAATTAAACATCAGAATAGGGCGGAAAATCAACCTACTCACACCCGTTATAAAGGCCAAATCAAGGTTTATAAAGGCTAGTTCAGGTATTTTAGACGCTTTGTCTTAGAAAGGCGAGGCGTAAGCCTCAAAATATACCAACAAATAAAATTTCAAATAACTAAAAATCAACTATGGATATGCATAATTATAAGCTCAAAAAGTCTCTAATACAAACTGATCACATCAAAGTATCAAACACAATAATTCAAAATGAAAATAGTTCAAAATGAGAATCTCAATACACAAACAAACACATCACACATATGACACAATGGAAGCTTAATTACCATATCTTTTACCCTTATCACCATTATCATATCTTATAGCCTTAACACCATCATCCCTTCCATCATTACTTTCAAAATCCTCCCATTCTTATCATTATGAAAGAGCATGAAAATATTTTAAGCACCTTCACTTACCAGACTTGTTAGGGTTTACGAAATATATGTGGACACACGTTTAATGTATAGGCCTTTTATTAAATTAATTTACAGGGCCTTATTCATGTTACATCAATGGTAAAAAAAAACAATAATAATCCCGCCTCAAAAAACTCCTTGAGGCATACACCCTGTCTTTTGAGGCATAAACCTCTTCTCTTGCAAAGAAACTAAGCCTCACATTACCTAGTCTATGCGCCTCACATTGAGGCCACCTCAAAACTCGCCTTTTAACCACCATTTTAAACTATGGGCCAAATACTGGGAATAAATTTATTCCCATTTTTTAGCCTGCAACCCCTGCCCTGCTGAATGCCAGGGCAACCCCTGCATTCGTTAAATCAAATTTTTTTACTAAAAAATGACTACTCAATGCACACTGGCACAAATAATTACTTGATGTATCAAAGCAGTATACTATTATTCAAATTATGGTAAGATTAATAATAACAAATCACAATAAAATTGATATTGATGGAAATGATGCTCACAAATGACATATGAGAACTCACACATCACAAATTACATTAATAATAAATGTTAAAAAGGCCGGGAAATCCTAATACTCCCTTTGTATTTGGGCATTTGACACACTTTTCTATTTCTGTTTGGCAAGTATTTAAATATTTGCACCACTTTCCTTTATTAGTAAATTTTTCAAATAAAACTACTATAATACTCTTACCTTTTGTACTCTTTAATCTTCTCTTTCATACTTTTCTAATTCTCTCCTATTTTTCTACACTATTACGTAGGGAGGGCAACGGAGGGCAGCAGCGGACACAAAAGGGTGAATGTGGGGACGGCTGCCCCTAATTTTTTTTAACTCGGTATAATTAGTCCAAAAAATTTTAATATATATGCATTAGTATATACAATTTTAAACTACCGCTACTCCAGTAGGGAATTCTTGTGTAGGGAGTATATATAAGTAATAAAGTTGAAACTTGAAGGCAGGAAACCAGAAACTATAAAGCCCTGGCTTCTCCTCAGTGGCTTGAAGCTATGAAATATGAATATAATGCCTTGATTGCTAACAAAACCTGGTCTCTTGTTTCCCTTCCCCTAGATAAACAAGCTATTGGCTGCAAGTGGGTTTACAGGGTCAGGGTCAAGGAAAATTCTGATGGCTCTCTCAACAAATACAAAGCCAGATTGGTGGCTAAAGGCTTCCACCAGAGACATGACTTTGACTTTGGAGAAACCTTCTCTCCAGTTGTAAAACCTGTCACTATCAAAATTTTACTCACTCTTGCTATCTCTCATAATTGGTTCATTAACCAATTAGATGTTAATAATGCTTTCCTTAATGGAGAATTAAATGAAGAGGTATACATGGTGCAGCCTCCAGGCTTTCAGACTGAAGACACCTCTTTAGTCTGTAAACTTCACAAGTCCCTGTATGGACTTAAACAGGCCCTTAGAGCATGGTTCCACAAGCTTACTTCTGTCCTCTATAATTCTGGCTTCAAGCAAAGCAAGGCTGATCCCTCACTGCTTCTTTTCTTGTCCTCTAGTGTTCAGATATACATCTTAATCTATGTTGATGATATATTGATCATTGAAAACAATTCTGAAGCTATAAGTCAGCTTATTCACAAACTGGACTCATCCTTCTCATTGAAGAATCTAGGAGCTCTAGATTTCTTTCTGGGAGTTGAAGCACACAAACTCCCAGATGGCAGCCTTCATCTCTCTCAAGCAAAATACATAAGGGACATCTTTAATTACACTGAAATGTTAGAATCCAAAGGGGTCAAGTGTAATACCCGAGAATTATATAAGAGGATTAATAGTACTACTCATACCAACAGAGGTGCATCTCCTTTTACGGGAGCTCATCCGCTAAGAACTCCAAAGTTAAGCGTGCTTGCACGGGAGTAGTCTAGGGATGGGTGACCCCCTGGGAAGTTTCTCAGGGCGCGCACGAGTGAGGACAAAGTGTGCGGTAAAGGCTAGTGGTGGTTTGTGAGGACAGTACTATTGGTCCGGAGTAACTACCTCGGGTCCTGCGGGGCCGGGGTGTTACATCAAGACACCAATGGTGTGTACTTGTAAACTTCATAAACAAGGCAGTGACTACTTTCCCAATCCTTCTCAGTATAGATCCAATGTTGGCACTCTTCAGTATGCTACCTTAACCAGACCTGATATATGTTATGCTGTCAACAAAGTGTGCCAGTTTATGTCTGAACCACTGCAGGAGCACTGGCAAGCAGTGAAACACATTCTGAGATGAGATACCTATCTGGCATTGTTAATCATGGAATCATCATTAAACCTATACCTTTGTCAAAAACCAAACTTCCTATTTCAGCCTACTGTGATGCTGACTGTGCTTCTGACCCAAATGACATGAAATCAACGTCTGGATCTTGCATATTTCTTGGAACTAATATTGTCTCATGATGGTCAAGAAAACAACTTAGAGTTGCTAGATCTTCAACAGAAGCAGAATACAGGAGTCTTGCAGATACTTCAGCAGAACTTCTGTGGATTCAATTTCTTCTAAACGAACTCCAGATTCCTTTTGCTACACCCATGGTGTACTGTGACAACCTCAGCACAGTTCAATTAGCTCATAATCCAGCTTTGCATTCCAAAATCAAACATCTGGAACTTGACCTTTCCTTTGTGAGGGAGAAGGTTCATATGAAACAACTTGCAATCTACCATATAATCCATATTCCCTCTCTTTATCAGATTGCTGATACTCTTACCAAGCTACTCTCTAGCTCCAGATTTCTTGAACTTAGAACAAAACTTAGTGTGGTTGAGTTCTTAAAACAATCACACTAATTTGAGGGGGAAATGTTAGATATATGTCTCAATATGTTAGCTATTGTAATAAGGTTGTATTAGTGGATGTGCTGTGTTGGTGTGTAGTTCGGTTAGTTGTTAAGTCAAACCGACTTAACAACTCTATAAATATCTTGTAACCTCACTTTGTTATGAATAAGATCTTTGTGTTATTTGCTCTCTACTTTCTAATACTTCTCAATCGTGTCTTTCTTGGAGAATTGATCTCAGGTGAGTAAGTCTGTGAAAGGTAAGAAAAACTTCACGATT